GCAAGTCTCAAGTGGAAATCTACGACGCCGGAATACTAGATTTCGAGCACCAATTTCACTCGCAATTTTACGGAGACGGAATCTATAAGATCCTCATTTTAAGTGGGATCCTTATACAGGACGGGATGTAACATCGGATTCGGGGAAAGAATATTACCGGTTACAATCTAGAGATCTCCGTTTCTGGACTTTAAGTAGAATTCTTATCTATAACTTACTACTTCGCGTGATTTAATAGGATAGTTTCAGGGGAGAAAGAGGTTCGAATTTGCGAAATGTGCATTTAGTTTTAAAGCGGAGATATTCGCGTTAAATATAATATTGGAGACTGTGCTATATTCCTACGGTGCATCGTTATCAGATTTCACCGAACCTACCGATAATTACTTGAAATATAAATTAGTTACTATTCCTAGCTTTCAGGAGCTTCGTCGTCCATTTTTAATATATATATATATATATATACGAGACTATTATAATCTGCGGATTTCAATGCGCGTATTATAAGAAATTGAGTTTCATTTTTCTAGCGTAATAGTCTCGCTCGTATAAAACAAACGATCACGTGTATTTAATATATTTAATATTAATATAGTTATTTAAATGAATATCTAAATGAATAGTTATATAATAAATTTATATTAAGTTGTCCCAGAAGTTTCTTCCGTGTAGCGGTGTTTATATAAACAGACAACCGAATTTCTTAGATGTTAATGTCGTAACAGTAATGGAGTAACATTAGACTAAAAATATTGTGTACGTGTTACTTATCAATGAAATGGAAGAAACTTTTGGGACAACCTACTATAAAAGTAACACGCGGTTCACGCATCGAACGTTCGTGCGTAATTGGTCCGAACTGGTCCCAAACCGTTGATCGGCGCTTGTTTCCCGATCGTCGGGACCTCCGCCGAACGCGTCGATTCTCACGTCTCGATCTCAAACATCGACTAAACTAGGCGCTGTTGCAAAAATGTTATTTTGCCTAAAGATCCTAAGTTCGGTGATCAGTATTCATTTCTCATCGTCGCGGTATCGACGCGATACGCTGCGAAGAAGGATTTAAGAGTTTTCAGACTGCATATTTTCGTTGAAATCTCTCGGGGGCCGAGAGGCGGCATCGGATGTCTCAAGTGCCAAGGGGGCACGGCGGAAGTTGCCGGCGCACACGCGGTCGTAAATTCCACGAAATAGTTCGCGTACCAACATCGTGTAAATAACGTTCCGGGGCGGCGGAGAGCAAGCGTTATTTAAATACTTGAATTATCTTCCTCCATTGTAGATGCTCGCGAAATGGCGTGGAAAGACTGTCTCGCTAAAGATCGAAGGGAAATTAAAGGACGAAAACGCGAATCGTCGACGAATCGACGGAGAGATGACGAGGTTTCGATCCAGGTGTTCGTCGCGCGGTGAATTTTGCATTGGAGAGACGGTAACCAGTTGATTTCTGTTAAAACAAGCCCGGTAGACGTTGTTGAACCGTTTGGGCCGGTATCCTTGTAAGCCGAGTTGTAATAAATTCAAAGCGAACGAGGACACGACACCGAGCACCGTCGCGATTTTACATGGAATATTCCACGTACAAATTCAGAGCGGGCCGTTCAGGCAACCTTAATACGTAAACGCGCGTATAAAACAAATTGTAAAAGCAACCGTTCCGAGGGACCAGTTTGTTCGGTGTTTTGCTTCGTCTGCTTGCCAAATGCCCGACAATGAAAAATGTTTCTCGCGTTCGACGTTACTTCGCTCTAATTATTTTTCCGCGGTGCATTGCGCGTGGTAGATTAGCGTTTTCAAATTCGCACATTTCGAGATTCGAAGGTCTCGATCGGCAACGGATGTCGATAGCTTTCGAAATTGCTGTTCGGAAGTGACTGGTCCATCGGTAAAAGCTTTGGTAGTTAACATCCTTTGATCGTCTATCCTGGAAACGTTCAATTATATCAAACTCGAATAAGTGAGATCCGCGAATATTAGTCAAGCGATGAACCACCCAATATTCTATAACCGCTATTATCGATCAACGAATATTCTCCGTATGCCAACCGTTATTTCAGCTTCGGATGAGTGGCATTAATTATTATCATACACGTCTACGATTTGGGAAACCTGCTTCGTCCGCATCGAACCTCCGACTATTTTCGTACGATCGAAATTAATTTTTGATATCGATGTTTGCAATGTATAATTAATTATTCGTGAGAATAGTAATTTTTCAACGTAATTGCTGCAGAAATAAGATTCATCGCTATCCGCGCGGGGGTAATTAATTATTCCCGGGGTTATTAAGACGGGCGCAAAGAAAGTTCAAGGATTTAAAGAGCGGAATCCGATCTTCAATCATCAACGTTAGGAGAAGCATTTTTAATACACCGTATATATTGGGCTGTCTGGAAAGTCCATGCCGATCTTTAGTAGGCGGTACAGGTCTAAATACATCGGAATGTTTGAAAACAAATAACATGTGTACGTTCCTTAACAGGTGGAAAGGTTGTGGAACAAAATGGTACATATATAATTCAACAAATATAAATCAAAATTCAAATATGCCTTTGAATTTTTCTTAAAAATAGGCATGAACTTTCCGAACAACTCAATATTTAGCAAATGTAGAAGCAACGAATTATGTTACATTCCATGTTACGTTATACAGGGTGTCCCAAAACTCGGGATTCTGAACAAAAATTTCCTTTGCAAAAGGAAAGTGACCTGGCCGAGCGCGCGCTACTCGGGCGCTGTGATTGGTCCATGGTTTTTCGTTAATAATTCAACACGAAGCGTCGTACGACATTTTTCCGAAGGAAATTGTCGTTCGGAATCGTCTCAGCTACCCCCTATTTCCGGCTCCTACGCGAGTTTTGGGACACCTTGTATACTGCACGACGAAAACGAAAATCAAATAATATACATACTCGAGGAATAGATAGACCCATTAGATCCCATAGTGGAATTTATCATTATTCTCTCTGGCTTCCTATAATATCTTAAAACAATTCGATGAGCCAGTGGCGATCGCGAAACGAACGCGTAGCGAACTTTGATCGGATGACTTCATTCCACTCACCTGTTGTCGTCAAAATGTACATTGAAACTAATTATTCGCATAGACAAATAACGTTCGTAGTTTCTCGGGACGTGGGAGGGGGCGGGAGGGGGCGGGAGGGGGGGGTGGGGCTTGTTCACCGAACAAATTTATAGTTCAGCGCGAGCGCGAGTTCCACGTACGATAACGTAGGCTCGACAATGAAAAACAATCTCATTCGATATTTCCGAGAAACGTAACTTTTCGAGTCGTACTACTTACGTCGCAACACCCGGTATAATCTTCGGACGCGATCGCGATCGCGACGAGCGTTTGTCACCGAAGGGCTTTCCGTCGCGTTGGAAAACGCGACAGCGTCAGTTATCGCGATCCCGATTCCTCGGGACGGGATAACGAAGTACGAAACGCCCCTTGACTCGATGAACCGGTCAAATATTATTTTTGCGATCTCTCTTGAAACTCTGCTAACAAGTTTATGCGGAAACAGCTGATTCGGGGAATCCGAAGCTGAGGTGCAAATTCGAATCCGTTTCTGCGCCACTCTTCGCGAAATCGTTCGTGTTATTTAGTAATTTTTAACCGATTTTGAAATGGAGGAGGTTACTCGATTCGATGTGTATATTTTGTTTTAATTAATTCTTTTTTTCTCTTTTTTTAGTCGATACTGTCTATACCTCTCTCGATTATGGCAACCCGTGTTCCTTTACGTAATTCTATGGCTTAATCATTCGACAGTCCTGGAATAGAAGATCGGTAAAGTTTGACGCGTTGAGTGCCATACTGAAACACGTGAAAATTTCTTGTCGTTCTTTTTTACTTCTGGTATTCTTCGAACACCGCGCAATCTTCGAATCGAACGCTTCGCTTCCTGGGACGTAATTGTTCTTTCCGAAATTACAGCGAAATATATCGTCTTTTCGATAAATCTTGAAAGCATATTCGCGTCGCAAGCCTGAATAAGATCTCTCGACCCTGAATAAGATAATTTTTAGAAGCGGTGTACTCGATCGTCTTACTACGAGACCTCGTATAATATTCGTGAGAGGCCTTCGAACGTGTTTGCACGTACGTACACCGAAAGTTCTCGTAAAACTGTCCGTTTCTCGCGGTGATATCGTCATCGAAATAACAAATGTGCACGAAAATATGCTTCGGACCTTCCAATAATCCATCTGCTCCTTCGTCGTTCGAGACATCGGGAACCCGATTGTTCTTCGTTATTAATAGTTCACCTATTAGTTGCATCGTTAATATCCTCCACGTTGTCGCGATGTAACGTCACGTCGTAACCTAAATCCTAACGAACTCGCCAAACAGTCTCCCATCCTATATTGCAACAGAAATTATGGAGAGAAGCATAATTCTTTCTTCAAAGTGACGACATTTGACAGTCCTCCTAGGTAAGCGTTAGCGCTCGACCAATGTTTACTCCCAGTATTTATCCAAATGTTACGTAACGCACGGTCGTTGAATAAAAGGAATTAACATACCGTGTCGCGTTGGATACCCATCGTCGTTCATTTCTTTCTCGTTCGTGTTATTCATCGTTAGATGGGTTGCCAATGGATTACTGATACATTGATTATTTATTTCGAAACCCGAGTACGGGCAAAGTCTGACATTACATGAGGTAACTTGCGAGATGATAGCGTTCGTTAGGAACGTTGCAAAAGTTCGCGATGACCGCTGGTAGATAAACCTGGTAGTTCCTTCGTACGACTACCGCAGCCAAAAGCTGATAATTCGAGCGTTCGTTGATTCGGACGCGTCGAAACAACCGAGCGTTAATTTTGCAGAAAAAGAGCCACTGTAACGCGCGTCGCCTCTTAACAGGCACGTGTCATCGTAATTCTCGGAAGGTAATGGACTGCGTTTACCTTTCGTTACGTCCCGTTCCCTTCCTTCGTTTTACTCCCCGTCGGACTTCCCCGATCGAGGAGGCGGAGCAGGATAGTCGAAAGCAGGCTCGGATAGGTGCGAGAAAGAAGAACGAAACCGATCCGACGAATTCGGAGGCTGGGCAACGGTCGGGTATAAAACAGTTGATCGCCGCCGAAGCCAGCATCAGTCACGCTTAACTTCACTTTCCTGCTCGACGCAAGCTGCTAACATGAAGGTAAGCGCCGTTTTTTCCTCATCCTTTCTCTCTCCGTCTCGTCCTTTCTCCATCGCGACGTTACCATCTTTCTCCACCGTACTCTTTCCTCCATTATTTCTTTTTTTTTTCAATCGCCACCGGCCAACCCCGTCCTACGCAAGTATGCGCAATGTATCAAAGTTACACCAACGCTTGGATTTTTGACGTTTCAGTGGCTTAGAACAGTTTTTTATCAAAATAAATTACGGTCGGTAGAAAAATCACGAGTGTGGCTTGCGAGGAAAATTTTGGGGCAAACTTGAAGTCACGAGTCTGAATCGCGATAACGATCTTAGACCAAACTTGAAAATCACGAGTCTCGCTCATAACGAACATTTTTGACCAATGATAAAAATCACAAGTCTGGCTCGCGATGAAAACTTCAGGCCAAACTTGAAAATCACGAATCTAACTCGTCGTTAAATTTACTGCGACCATACGGACCGCACGGGTTTCTCCGAGTTTCAGCGTGGCGAACTTGACTAATTTAGTAAAACTTCTTCATTAGACATAGAGGGTACGAATATTTATAGGGTGTGTTTGCATTTCGGTATGGAAAGAACGAACCATTAATCATTTGTTCGAGTGAAAAATTGTCTCGAGATATCGACACCTTCCAAAATCCAAGCGTTCGTATACTTTTCACACGCGGTGTAGCATTTTCTGCCGATCGACTTACAGTCGCACCGACGTACCAACATTTTTTTCTAGTTTTTCCATTCGAACCCGCTCCGAATTCATATACGCGCGAGTGCATCGTAATTCGAGTAAATTCGTGGATCGTCGGAGACTTAACGCCTCGCAAGACAGTTTAACGTTGTAACTAGAATGAGACATTCGCGGCTCGTTAAATTTTCACGCGTGTGTCTGCCGTAGTTATGGCCCCGTGTAAGATTAGGCGCGATGCCGCGTCGAATATCGTTCCGTAAAATATACCCCGGTTACATCGAATTCGATAAAACACGCCCTTCTAAGCAAGCCACGGCTCGTTGGCTTAACGCGTCGACGGCCCGACTAAAACTCGTTGAAAATTTCTACCGAGCTAAAATTTTCTCTCGAGACCGTCACGGATCAGGTAATTTCACGTTCGCTGTAGTATTTAATTTTCTTAATTTAAACATTTTTTAACGTGTCACGCATTTGTTGGCGACCAACGTGTTAATATCTAACCGAAAGTCTAGCTCGAGTTTGAAACTGCGAAAGGTTAGCTGTCGCTGCGCGCTGTGTTTGCAGTATTTAAATGAAATTAACAGTGGACACGACTAGGCTTTTTCGTACAAGTGAAATTTGATTTCGTCAAACGCGGAGCTCAAACGAGCCCACCTGTTTCCCTCGAATTGCTTCGTCCTTTTATTTACTTTGTTCTCCGTAAAGTTTGTCGAGCCATTGACGCGTAAAGTTTCTATTCCATCGAACGGATGTGTAGAGTATGAATAGGTCGCGTTGTCGTATTTCGAGATCGAAGCGTCGTTCCGCCTAGGTTTTTAGTTTCCGCGTAAAGTTTCCCGATTCGTTGTAGTTGGAACAGCACGGAAAACTAGCCTCGTCGAATGTAGCCTCGAACAGCGAGTACGTTAAAATCGAGTTCACCTCTTGTATTTCGAGGTCGATTGTATCGTGTGCGAGAACATGGCGGCGCAAAATGCTCGAAACCGCGAGTTGCGTAGGTCGCGTGGCACCGACGCGATATGGAACTGGATTCGAGCGGTACTGTTTGCTCGTTCTCTAACAGCAACGCTCGAATCTCTATCTAATTAGAGGCTCGTTAATCGTTCTAAATTAACGCGAATGAACGTGTACGAGATTGGCGTTTTAATCAACGCGGTAGTTAATTTGACGATCGTTTAAAAACGTTCGATTAACGCGCGACTCGCAATCATCGCGATCGAGCAGAGTGCGAAATCGAAGGAAACGAAGGAGAGGTAACGATGGAATTAGAAAACGTTTATCGTACGTTTCGTTGAGAAAATCGACGTAGTGCGCGTATCGCGTTGTTGTTCGGTGCCCGCGAAAAATGAGAAACAAACCCGACGCGGTGAAATTTATTTGCGAGAGTGAAAGCCGTTAGGAAGCATTCCTCGATGGCAACGGTCGCGATTGCGTCAGAGGAGTTGCATACGTGTGCCGCATATGCCACCGTTGACACCAATTCTGTAATTATCGACGTTACAGTGTTTAAAGAGGCGAGTAATCGATGAACGTTTCCAATGGCATGATTATTGACTGCGCGGACCTAGAGATCGAATTGGTTTCGAATAGAAGGATTCGAAGGAGGGAAAAGATATACGCGAAAAGTGGAATAATATCGCGATGACTTCTCTTTCCAAGGGGACGAGAATACGGAGCGACGGTACTTGAGATATTATCGTGACGGGTCGGAAAGGGTGGGACGGAATATGGATCCTAGCTAAGGGAAAGAGCGTAGTCGGTAGAACAGATGTAGCGAGACCTTCTTCTCGGAGCGTATTCGAGCGTTGTATGTATTAGTTTGATCCCTTCAAAGGTCGAGTCCACGAGCGGATTTCTTCGCGCTAACGTTACGTTTTGCGTCGTACGTCAATTGTCCACGCGTAATACTTTCATCCCTTTGGCCTTGGGCCACTCGAAAGAGGACGAGTCGAGGTGAAGAGTCGGTAAACCGGTCCGGACCGCCTACGCGGTGCCATCTTTGAGTTGTACGTTGTCAATGTTGTCGGAACTCCTTTAAACGCACTCTCTAAAATAAATAATCGAAGGTAAATCGGAATAAACTTTGGACAAGTAAACGGTTTCTTAGCTCGAATACGCGCGTACGGGATTGTTTATTCGGCACGAGTAACCCATCGCCGTGCGAGGTCCACGAATCGCCGTCGGCAGAGATTAGACACGCGCGTGTCGTCGAATTCCATCCGCTAATGGAAATTAAAATTTTTTCACATTTTCGTAAGAGCGTCGTCGATAAATTGGCCAAGTTTTTCCACGGAATATTAGTTCAAACACGAGGAAAATTCTTTGGGTTATTCCGATTCGAATTCTATTTGTATGTATATACAGACAGTTCCAGAAGTATTCTGTACGGGGTGTTGAGACGATTCCGAACAACCCAGGCCTGATACAATATTTTCAATTCTTAGTGAAAAGTCCTTATTTACTAAAGTTTTATTCATTAAAAATTTATTAAAGGTAGAGTCTCCCGGAATTATTGTAAACACCGGAAATGGGTAGCTGAGACGATTCTGAAGCACAATCTCCTTTGCAAAAATGTTAGGTGGTGCTTCGTTTTTGAATTATCAATGAAAAACCATGGACCAGTCACACAGGCTGACTCGAGCCAGGACGCTTAGGCCAGCCTCTCGCGGCTGAGCGCGCGCTGTGATTGGTCGGTGGTTTTTCGTTAATAATTCAAAAACGAAGCACCAGCCGACATTTTTACAAAGGAAATTCTGCTTCAGAATCGTCTCAGCTACCAGTTCTTACACGAATTCTGCGATCCCCGGTATATTCAAGAAATTTGTTTGAATCGATTGGTAAGCTTAATATTTTCAAATAATTGTAGAGTAAGAATAAGGTGTAAGTGCATGTGTACAGGTATACAGGGTACAAGTACATGTGTATGTACATACATACAATAAACATAAAGGGTACAAATACTTATAGGACTGACTGTATGTTCCCGATGTAGTCCGAGCGAAGTTAACATCGAATTGGCCGTTCTTTCGTTTGTATATAACAAAAGACAGGTATAAAAATGTTAATTTTCGTTAGGGTGTGACTCGTTCCGAGCGCGTGCCTTATCGGTTCCGTAGCTGGCCGCTGGACACGAGTAATCCACGATTTCCTCGTTGTTCCAGCTCGCTCGGTGCTCCGTGTATCCCGTTCGTTGGATCTTCTCGTTTGCTGGAACTCGCGAGTCTCGGTTCTGGCTTGAGGTAGAAAAAAGGTCGACTTCTGGAAAAAGCACTACCCTCGCTTATCCGAGGATTACCGTACTCTCGCGTCAGCGTGCAACGTTTTTTCGTGATTCTATACGGGATTCGCGAGCCGTACGAACAAGGATCGGTTCTTACTGGAAAGAACGGCGCGCGTGCGCGGACTCGCGCCAGCTTTCGCGCACGGACACTCGCGTTTTTCATCGAGAACATTTTACGTTTGAACCGTTGCCGGCGTCTAATCCGGTTACGCGTGCCGATTAAGCGCCCGGAACAGGTTTGGCTGGGGCTAAGGCAGCGGTTGTCTCCTAAGTCTAGATTTTGCACGCCTTAGTACACGCGTTGAGCCTTCGTTATGCGTCGGCCACGAAGCAAATTTCCATTAAGATCGGATTAAACCGGGGTTAAATCTAGATCGGATCCCGGTTAGATCAGTGGAATATTAAATTTCGATATTATCAGCGGCCGGAATAGCAAAGTAGGAGACCTCCGTTCGAGCTATATTAGCTACGAGAGCCACTTAACTCGGATCTGTTACTAATTGCGTCCCATTAACTGTCCACAATCAGATTCACGATCTTCTATTCTGTTACACGCTACTCGACCTTCCGCTCTACTCCGCTCCACTCCACTCTACTCCACTCCTCTTCACTCCACTTCACTCCACTCCGCTCTGCTCGACTTATCCTGGCGAGAACGGTATTCCGTTGGACGCAGATAAGTATACAGGACTACTCGCAATTCTTTCTAATCGCTTGCGTTAACTCGCGCCGAACCGTGAGTTCTTCGAGACCCGGGAATCCGTCGCTCTCGTCTTTCTTTGTTTACGAGTCTTCTTTGTTTAGAAGTTGTTCAGTACTCGAAAGAATAGATCGAGTTAACTGTGGCTCGCACGCGACTCAACCAACGATTGACAACTGATACGAACTTAATCCGTGGAAATTCATTCCACATGCAACGGTAACAAAAATACAGACGTCTGAATCTTCTCTACAGAACCGGCAACTTCGTACGAAGCAACGTAACAGAACTCGCGCGGCAACCAAGATTGCTTCGCTCGAGCGTAAAAAAAGAAGCTCGTATAATATTCGGATGGCAAATCGCTGCGAACACTTTTAGCTGAAAATTTCGAAAAGTAACGGTGAATTGGCTGCCGTGCGGCCGAGAAGCTTGGAACTCCATTATGCAGAACCCGTTTGATCTCTGGGGTAAAGATAACGCCCGTGCCTCTCGGCTCGCGTGACTTTTCGGATATCCTGTTGCACGTCGCGCACAACAGTCACGCGATGAGTTTCATTTCTGCCACAACTGGCGCGAAAAAGTACAGTTTCGCGTCGAGCGAAATTCTAAACGCCACGCGACTCTTTACCGTGCCTCCGCATCTCGGGAATCGCTTACACCATCGCGACGTAAGCTGGATTTCTTATACGAACGCACGTCATAAATACGTCTCGCGGTATGTACGTCGTCTAGCACTGCCGACTGGTTAAACGACCAATGGTAACTAAATTTTATGCATGACGAGTATATTCGTCATTACACGAAATACTCCGCTTCTCCGTGACGAGTATACTCGTCCAACACAGCTGATTGGTTAAATAAGTAATGGTAACTGAATTTTACGCATGACGAGTATACTCGTCATGACACGAAATACTGTGCTTCTCCGTGACGAGTATACTCGTCCAACACAGCTGACTGGTTAAATAATTAATGGTAACTGAATTTTACGCATGACGAGTATACTCGTCATGACACGAAATACTGTGCTTCTCCGTGACGAGTATACTCGTCCAACACAGCCGACTGGTTGAATGGCCAATGGTAACAAAATTTGACGCATGACGAGTATACTTGTCCTGACACGAAATACTCCGCTTCTTTGTGACGAGTATACTCGTCCAACACAGCCGACTGGTTGAATGGCCAATGGTAACAAAATTTTACGCATGACGAGTATACTTGTCCTGACACGAAATACTCCGCTTCTCTGTGACGAGTATACTCGTCCACCACAGCCGACTGGTTGAATGACCAATGGTAACAAAATTTGACGCATGACTACACTCATTGTTCTTTTATCGGAGCTTATTCTTTTTGGAAATTTATATTCAAAAATAGCACGCGAAAGACCATAGGGTGGACGAAACTTCGAAACGCGTTAGACGTCGTATAGCATCGTAAAGTATTTAGCAAGGGAAAATCGGGGTGGTGCTGTGATACACGGTAAGGAGAAGAAAGTAATCCCTCGGTCTCCAGTCCCAACGCCAGCGAACGATAACGTTTCTCCCAAAGGTCCTCAGTTTTTCTTATTAGTCCTTCCCTTAACGGAGAGGGAACGGTTGGTCCGTGTTATGGCGTCGTGCCGTCTTATCTCGAGGATACACTTTATAAAAGGCTTCCACTTTTCTGCCCGTCGACGAATCTAGGTTGCGGTTGTTTTCCTCGCCGTGGTGGTCTGCGCCCTGGCAAACGAGAAGTACACGACCAAGTACGACAACGTCGACTTGGATCAGATCCTGAGGAGCGATCGTCTGCTGAACAACTACGTAAACTGCCTCCTGGAAAAGGGAAGCTGCACCGCCGACGGCAAAGAGCTTAAAAGTGAGTCGACGTTTGAGTCCGAGTTAACGCGAACACGTAATCGACGGTATTTACCATTTTGTCGTCGATCGCTCTCCGAACATCGTATTTTCCGAGCGAACGCGAACTTCCACGACTCCGTAGGACGCGAGCGCTGATCAAATTTTGAAGCGCTAAAACGTTGACGCTTACCCGTCACCGATCGATCGGACTATTCGTCTCGTTGCTCGCGCCGGTCGGGAAAGCTCGCGTCGTAAAAATTGGAAAAAGAAATCGGCAGACAAACACGAACGATAATTCACAGTTTCGTCGGAACGGGAAAACAATCGCGGTACAAGGAAAAAAGGGGGTGGGTTCTCGGAATGTCAGCGACGCGTCACACATAAATCGCAGCCAGAACCAGCAGGCAAATTTCCCGCTGTACTTTTCTATTCCAACGATCTCGGCTTTTCTATTCCCGAAGCGCGGCTTGTTTTATTGTACAGACTCCTAACGTTCCCCGTTACTCGGTCTTAAGGGACCCCTAGACTCGAGATCCGATAAGCAATACTCTCTCTTTTCCTATTTTCCTTCTCGCTGTTTCCCTCGCTTTCTCTCTTTCGCTCTTCTTTTGTTCGTCGCGCACCCTCTTCGCGAGTTCGTCTTCCAAATCTGAACCGACCAGCCAAACGAACGGCGAACGTAGCTGATGGGAAGTTTGCGGTCTACCATACGCGGTGTAACGCTGTCAAACATTGGACGAGGGTCAAAGTCGAGTCACTCGACCGAAAAAGAAGGCAGATTGCGGGGGGGGGGGGGCGCGGGGGCTTCCTCTACCGAACATCCAAAGAGCCTCCGGCCGATTTTGTTCGACCTCCATCTCCTGGGAGCGTGGCGTCTTCCGAATCGTGCGCTACCTCGGTCAAATGCACGAAAAGAAAAACCTTCCGTCTGCTTTCTTTCGAAAATAAGCTCCGGTAGATGACGTATTTCAAAGGGGAGCGAATCGAGTCTGTCGGCGACGATTACTCTACGCGAATCTAACCGAGTTTTTCTGCAGTCTGTTTAACACGCCGGCGTGTACCACCGGTGGATCGCGCGTATATATCCAATGGGGCGGCGTGTACCACCGGTGAATCACGTTCCCGTGTCTATCAGATGACGTGTACCACCGCGCCGGCGCGAACGTGTCAAATTCGACAAAAATAATTTTCGGTTACATAAAAACAAAGTGTCAGGGTTGCATACATTTTTAAAAGTTCTATGGCGGTCAACGTGTCAACATCGCGGCTTAATTTCATCTCGATCAGTTTCGCGGTCGGATGTCTCGTCGAAAGTTACGTTTCGTACGAAATCCGTATCAACTCGTAACGGAACTCGGCGCGTTCTTCCGGCAGAATTCTGCCTTGGGATTAAATTCGATCGCGATTCGTGGTCCCCTCGTAGCTCGAATAACATTCGTACCCCACCGATCGACGCTCGTATGCATCGAAAATTTCCGTCGAGCGTTCGAATCAATCCACCCCCGGGCTTAATCTCTTCAACGACTCGGGCACGCAGAATCGCACGAAACGCTCGTCAGATAATCCGAAAGAATAATCGCGTCCTGCGATAAATATTCTGCATCGACGCTTTCGTGTCCCGCGGCGATTCGTTAGCCGCCGCTCCAGCGGTGAAATAATTTTCGATTCAATTAAGATATCACGGGAACGAGTTTTCGCGATAACCATGGGCGCGCTGTACCGTTCTCTGGCAGCAAGACGGAACGGTGGCTATCCTTTTAACGGCCCATCTTCGCCCGCTAGTTTTAACTCGTTCCTCGCGAAATAACGCGCGATAAAGAGGTGCTGCTGTTTCTTTTTCTTTTTTTTTTTTTCTTAATTTCATTCGAGACGGCCACGTGTCGCGAGGCAACGTGAAATTCGATGGATAAGAGGCGACAGATCAGAGCAACGGGTGCCATCGTAAACGTCGGCTCGTATCGTTCCATCCGGACGGAATTCCTACTCGATCCTTTTCACATACCGCCGCCTGGTGGTCCGTAGCGAAACGTGCGACAGACGCTGATATTTTACAAAGAAAATATAGTCCCAGCCTCGGAGAATTCACGGACGATATGCTCGGGCGTATCGGCTAGAGCAGCTGGTGCAAATGACGACGTCGGGAAAAAAAGGCAAGCGATCGCGAGGATACGAAAAGGCTGCAAACCCTCTCCCTAGCTCTCACCTCGTTCCCTGCGTTCGCTTTTCAAAATTGCACGATCGACGTTCGTACACGATTCCCAACGTCGTACGAAGAAAATTACTTCGACCGAAGCGACGTTACTTTCGTTATGTGCGTGGTACGCATTGCGTACACGTCTAAGCAAGTTGAACGCAACGATAACGATTTCTAACGGTATCGTTCTTATAGTCCTGTTCTTCCAGTATCCGTAATTTCTTTATAAAAGTTCCTCGTCTTCTTTCGCGATCCGGAAAAAATAACGAGTGGAGGAATTTTCAAGAGGAATCATATTAGACTCGATCCCGTTACCCAAATGCTTTGGAAGCGATTAAACCGTGGCTCGTAATTAGCACAGTTTCACCGTAATTCACTCAGTGGCTCGCTACATCCGCAGTCGCTTTGGAAAATTCTTTATCGCATTTTCCAGAAGCTTCCTTCCCTCCTTTTCTCGTCGGGTCCCTAAGGTACCGTTGATTACGCGGAAAAGAGCGTTCATCGGACCAGCTAGTTTCAGCTGGAGTAAATAGGAAGACTTAGGATTGCTCGAGTAACCAATCTCAAAGTATCTCGTCACGTATCCGCTGTAATAATCCGTTTTTATATACGCATAATATAATAAATAAAATTATATTTATTATAATTGTATTACACATGTATCATTATGTATAACAAATACACACACACACACACATGTATAGATTATCCATGTATATATTTGTAATGAAAAGTTAACCCCTTGTCTACTTTCACGAGTCTGACTCGTGATGAAAATTTTAGACCAAACTTGAAAATCACGAGTCTAACTCGTGATGAAAATTACAAACCAAAACTAAAAATCACGAGAGTCTGGGTCGTGATGAAAATTTGTTAGATGAGACTTAAAAATCACGAGACCGGCACGCGATGAACATTTTTTTACCAAACTCGAAAATCACGAAGTCAGGCTCGTTGTTAAATTTAGTGCGATCATTCGGGTTTAGGCACGGCTTTTTCTTAGTTTCAGCATAGCGAACTTGACTAATTCAGTCGAACCTCTTCATTAGACATAGAGGGTAAAAAATTGTATAGGACTGACTGTGAAATTCCACCTATTGATCTGTAGAGAAGTCGGCGAATATGAATTCGTGGGTAAGAATCCGCGAAATTCCGCATTCGTAACCGGGACCAGCAGCGACACCCGATCGGTTTTCGTTCCGTTTTGTGCATCCTCTACACACGAATATTTATTTTGATTTCAGAATCGCTGCCGGACGCGTTGGAAACCAATTGCAGCAAGTGCAGCGAGAAACAGAAAAAGGGCAGCGACAAGGTCATCCGGTTTCTGGTTAACGAGGTACGTTCACCGACGGTCACAGCGTTCACCGTCACTTTTCCGTGGCTAATTAGACGCGAATTCGCAACGAGTCGCGTACCGCGAAGCGTGGTCCACGCGTGGCACAACCATACGTCGCGGATACGTCGCGTGCGAATGCCGTAGGAACTGGTTTGACTTTCACGGGACGGTGCGACGTCGGTCTCACCCTAGGACTCGAAAAACTTTTCCCGACGAGCCAAATACTTGTACGCGGGATCATCCTTGTCGCGTAGTTCCCTCTCGTTCGAGTTCTCCCTCGGGCTATTCCGGAATTCTTCTTTGCTTAATAATCGTTAACCTGTGCCCTGGGACAACCGGTTAATCCGTTCAGCGTCAAACTTGCCCGAGCTAACTTCGCCGGTGTTATTTGCTCCCGCTCCGAACTTTCTTCGGTGATTTTTTCCCCTCCTTTTCCTGTTTTCTTTTTTTTTTTTTTTTTTTTTTTGTCCGGGATTATCATCGTTCCGAAACGAACGTTACGCGAATAATAAATCGAAGTATACATGGTTCCGCAGAGAAACAATCGAAGAAAATTCTTGGCCCGTCGCGAATCCTTCCTGTTTATATTCGCGACAACGGACGAGCCGTTCGCATCCGTTGCCGTCGCTTTGTCCTCGACCGAGCAACTTTTAATCGAACCTACGAGTATCGATTCGTCTTCTTGACATTCTTCTTTTTCCGCTTCGTTAACGGAATCGCGCTTAATTCCGATCCGACGCGACGCGAGGGCGTAAAGTAGATCGTCCGCGATCCACTCGCGACTTCGTTTCGTAATTACCCACTTTCGTCCTTTTACGAATATAACGCGCGGTTCGTGTTTCCCCGATGCAAGTTCTCGCGTAACGAGTGTACTTAAATCTACTAAAATTGTAGCGCGCTGCTCGTTACCAGAGACGAGAAAGAAGCAAAGTTTTCGAAATCTTTCGATCGAAGAAGTATCGTACGGTACCTGAGTGCTCGTTGAAAAAAGTTTCCTCCATCGCCGTTATTCAAAATCAATTCGATTTGTACGTTACATGATATTCTCGTTTGCGTTTCAGCGACCTCAAACCTGGGAAAAATTGAAGAAGAAATACGACCCCACCGGAGAGAACACGCGGAAGTTCGAAAATGAATTGAAGAAACAGGGAATCAACATTTAAGTAGTTTGTAACGGGTGAGTCCTTCCGCCCGAGGACATGGGAATTCTACGTTTAAAGCAGACTCGTCGAGAATCGTTCGCCATCGTTGGTCCCATTTTTTAAATTTGTATCCGAGTCGAAGAATCGCGAAATAAATGTTGCATGGTGTAGTATCGGACAGAAAAAGGGGAAACGAATTAATTCTATTTTTTTTTAGCGAGGAAAGGGCCACGTAATTTCTTCGTTTCGCCATTGGACGAACGAAGGAAAGCGAAGAGAGTCTTCGAAGATTCGTTTCTTTGAGAGAACAATCCTTCGGATAACAAAGACAAATCCTCTGTTACGTCACGTACCGTTCCTTCGGTTCCGCCCTCTCCCGCTTCCTTTTCCTCTTGCAGTTCTATTACGAGTGATTGTTTCGCGTTGGAAATAATCGAGCCGGTTTCACGGTCGAAAAAAGAGGAGGAGAAAACGCGAGCCGGTAGATTTAATATGAAATTGGAAAAATACCTCCTCCTCCTCCTCCTCTCGACCTCCTCTCTCCGCCGCCTGCCTCGCGCGGATCAATTCGGGGATTTGTACGAAGCTCCGCACAGCTTCCGATTTTTCCAGGAAAATTTCGTTTGAATTATCATACGTGCAACGCGACTGTTCGTCGCAGTCCCGCTAGTAATTAATCGCGAGCTGCGACCGAATTTGTTGCGGCACGAACGATGAAACTGAATCTTTGCATCTATTCACCGACGAATACGTAAATACCGCAAAAAAATTAAAGGTGCGCTTTACGATCACTGGAATTCATCTTTGGTAAAGCGTACGGCATTTATCGAGCATTTATCGAGGCTTACAAATATTTTTTGAGTTCTCAACTTATTCTAAAGAAATTATTTTTAACTTCTCGAAATTCGAATATTTTTGTTCGTATTTTTCTCGTAAAGTTCAAAAACGCACATTTTAAAAAAAAAACCGGTCCGATTTGGTTACTTTTTGCCAGAGCCATTTGAAAAAAAACGACGTTTTCTTTTTTTTTTAAAGATTCATAAACTTTTTTCAGTTCGGCACAAAAATCTGCAAAAATTCGCAAAGAGGTATTTAGAAGGGTGCTGTAATATAAAAAAAAAATGTCAGCCAAATGAAGATGAATGGTCACGACACGAAATACTGCCGTTTCTCCGTGACGAGTATACTCGTCAAACGCAGATGACTGGTTAAATCGACGAACGAACGAGGAAAGTTTCGTAGCAACCCGACACCCCTTTCCCTTCGTCTAGTTCGGCGGTAAGCGGTTCAAACGACCCCAAACTAGCTCGATAATCGGAAAGTTCCACTGTCTTTCGGAAATTTAATTACTCGAGCATAGACTCGACATCGGTTTTAATTTTTCTTCGAGTTAACGGAACCCGTTCTCAGACTACTTACCGGAGTAGTTTCGGGGCTCGTCAGGACTTCGGTTCGCAAGTTTAAGAAGCGAGAATTCCGACTTACGCGAACGACGGATCGCGTCTGACCGAGAGACACGACCGCCGATGAATATTTAAGGAAAAGCACGCGTGGCGGAGGGGAAAGAAGTCGTAATCACCCCAGGGAGTCGTCGAGCCGCTCGATCGGCGTATGCGCCGTTCGCGAGGCGATTACAGTAGTCGAATTATTTATTTGGTAAGCCGTGGTTTTCGAAGAATGGAGCGTCGACTCTTGGAAAGTGATCGATTTTTGCGATGCAATCCGTGGAAAATGTTTCGAGTAATTAATTTTATGCGAACGAGTACTTATTATTATGCGCACTTGCGTTATCTATTTCAATTTATGAAACACAGAACTGTCGGTTTTTGATTCTTTTCTAACAGTAGAATGTACTTTTCTCAGTATTTAGATTTATATCGCATTCAATTGCAAAATAACAGCCGGTAACATGGAGTCGTTTCTGGAATAAAATTAATTTAATAGCTTGTTAGTAAAAGAATCTGCGCCCCGCATGGCGTTCAGTGTCCTTTGACCGAATATAAAAATACTCGTCACTAGGTAACCGGATTTAACCAGTTCACATTCGTCACTCCTAACAACCGCCTCGAAGTCGATCGAACGAATGCCCCTTTGTTCCTTCTCCCGTCGCCCATCTGTTGCTACGCGTAGCCGGAAAAATCCAGAACGGATTATGACAGAGAGCGCGTCGCCACACGCCACTTCCAGACAATGACACCAAGCTTTCGCCATTGTATATCGCCATATTCCTTATCTCTCCAGTTCGTTCTCTGGAGTGACCGTCTCCCACTTTACTTGTCGATGATTCCTATACCTAGCCACCACTGACTCCCATATTAGGTTTGGGCATTCGCCGAGAAACTGGCAGGGTGTTTCCTTCCAGTGTAAGCACTTACGCGCGGCGTAATTCTTTCTCCGCTTTGAGAACAATTTCCCCTTGTTTCTCCCGATGTTTCCTTTTACTTCGTTGCGCCACAGTTTCGACAGAGCGCGTCTTTCCCAACGGCTCTCTGAATTTTTTACAAGCGCCAGTTTGATAAATCGTACGCGCAGGAATTATTGCTCGACGTCTACCACGATTACTCGCACGACCCGTCTCTCTTCCTCTCCTCCCCGCCCGTTCCGTTTCGTCTTTCTTTCTTTTCTTTCCAATTCTGTTTGGAGAACGACGAGGCAATTTCTTTAAATATTCATTCCCGTTATCCCGTCGGAAGATTGCCTTTTTTTGTTTGCAATTTTTGTTACGTTTCGGAGCGAGAAGAGCAATTACGTCACGCGAGCTTCTCTACGAGTACCAACGCGAGATACGCGAACGCGTTATCCGCGGTGAAGAATACGACCGCGTTTACTCGACCGAAAGGTTTGCGTTCATCGAGTTATCGAGACTCGTAAGCCTATCCCCTCCGAGATTTATTCTCTTCGACAAAGGGACAGAGGCGGATAATTATGTGCCTCGTTTTATTTTCTTCGAGAGTCTCGTTTGTTCGAAGAGATCGAGGATATATTTTATTTATTAACAACTTGTTCCGCTTCGAACTTCAACTTTCCCTTTGAACTCCTTCTCCCCCGTAAGTCTGTTATCTCTTTCGGTGCTTTGTTGTCAGAGGGACGACTTCTCGTTGCGCGAGTGGCCTGTTTTTATTTTAATTAGCCACTCGCCGAGACGGTTCTCGCGTGTTCGATACGCCGCGATCGGTAGTTGGAAGTTTGTCGTGGTGCCTTCTGTCCTTGCCACTAGAGGGACACCTTCCTCACAAGCATTCGGTCCGCCAGGGACGTAGCGATGGAGCGAGGGGTCTCAAAATGGCGCGCAGTGGTTTTGAAATCCCAACAAAGTTAAATTGTATAAAGCTAATGCTATATTTCTGAATATTAAAGACTATTAAAAATAATCAAATTTAATGTCCCACGAAAGCCTTCAAACTTTAAGGTAGTTTTGAACATATTCGAATTAGTACATATCGGAAACTTTAAGTTGTGGAGTGATCTGAAATTATCTACATTATAAGGCCCCCTCCCCCGAAACATGATAGTGGGCTCAAATTCATTGGAATGCCACCGGGCGCCAAATTTCCTCGCTACGCCACTGCGGTCCGCCATTTCCGAACGACTAGTCCGCTAGCAGGCCCTTTGAGTATATGTATAGACATTTCTATATACTCTATTCTATATAGTACTCTTCTAGTACTCAAAGAGCAGGCCCAGGACAAGAATGCTCTCTTCCTCTCCTCTCCTCTCTCGCTCTCTCTTTCACAGAAACCGCCGCCGCAAGTTTGCAGAGATTTTCGGTCCGCAGGGCACCGCGTGCGTTTACTCGCGCTTGACGGGTTGGAAATCACGTACGCGGCAATAGTCTCAGTATCGTCTCAGTCAATTTCCAAAACGAATATTTAGACAAGCGGCACGATGTTTCTAACAAACATTATCAGGCTTAGGTCTAAGTATACAGCGTACGCGAAACACGCGATCCAGGCGGCGGCGTCGAAAACGCGTTGGGGTTGATTCCCATAACGTGTTATCGCGAGTTAACGCAGGGTAAGGGCCGGAAAATAAAATATTCGACAGTCGGGGAATGGGATTCCCGTGTCGGAGCAGCTCGAAACTATTACGACGAGAGTAAATCCTGTAAATAGACTTAGCTCCTCCGTCTTGTCCAAACCAGGGGGACACAACTTTTATTTTGGCCGCGAAGCCACTCGAATTTTCTTATCCTGCTCGGTGAAACATCGCTCAGAAGAAACTTTAACTTGCGGCTGCCTTTGTTGGCCAGGCGGCGAAACTTCGGGAGTCTCGCGATAAATTAACCTCTTCTCTCCCTCTCTTCTCTATATCCCGTCACTTCCTCTCTTTCGCCCCTTATTCATCCGTGCGCTACACCTTATTCTACTCTATCTCGGGATTTCATCGTTCCTTTCGCACTCGTTTAACTACGTCCTAACCTGTAAACCGGTACACTTTGAAGTACCAGTAAAATACTTTATTTCCGCGACTCTCCAATCATGGTGGACAAAGGTTTAGTCGGCGAAATTGTTAGCTCTCTGCAAAGAAACTGTTGTCGAGCGCAAAGGGTTAATCACTTTGAGCGTTATTCGAGATTGGACATGCCGGCTTGCTTGTCGTAAGGTAAGTAGGTTATAAAACGGAGGGATGGTAAAAGGACGATGCGATTCGCTTTGGGTGTGTTGAACCAAAGACGGAATATATCGACTGATAGAGTTCTTAGCGATTCGAGGGTTTATGTACAACCTACGACCAGCTTTTTAACGATGGGAGCTTCCGGTGTTTTATCTAGAAATTGATGCATCCCGCGGTTAGGGAATACCAGCGAGAGATTTTCTCCTGAGACGTCTCGCAGTGCGGAGGGGTTAAGGTCGATTCAGACTATACGACACGTACCGGCAACGACACGACAAAATATTAAAACACGCGTTTTAATGGAATTATTCACACTTGACAGACACCGACCTGAACGTTCCGTCAACGGAAATAGTGCGAATAGTTCCATTAAAATGCGTGTTATGTTTTGTCGTGTCGGTGCCGGTACGTGTCGTTGCCAGAACGTGTCGGTCCGTGTCGTATACTCTGAATTGACCTTTAGCCTCGTTCGCGCGAGAACAGTGTTCGACTAAAAATTACGACGGAGGAGACGCTCCCTATTTTGGATCACCTTATCACCGATGGACTAAGGAGCAGGTTATTAAATATCG